TTATTTTCACATTACTTCATTCTTGCACAGTTTATTTCCACAATGTCTTAAATAAAGTTTTAACTCTCACAGGTTCCACCGAGATCTCCAACGACCTGGGTTAAAAAAAAAAAAAAGGAAACGGCTCTCGCTCTCAAAGATGGCGGGTCCATTCAGCAACCATTTCAGCCACTTCTCGCCCCGCGTCCAGGACGAAGGCGTGGCGGAAACCTTTTTCACACAGTCTGAAGTCTCCATGTGGGAAGTCCTGCTTGATGTTGTGGAAATAACTCACAGGGCACCAGTGATCCACGACTCCGTAATAAAATATGAGCTAAAAACATAAAAAAACAGAGTTTATTCATGAAATATAACACTGAATATGTTAAAGATGTGCCAAGAGTTAACTGATAATTACAACACTATTATTGTCCTTCTGTCCACAAGTAATTTTAAAACAAGTTTCTTACCTTATCAAGGTTTTTCTTGATAGTTATGTTGTCTCGTTCCACAACTTTCTTCATTTCTTGACCCCCCATGTAGATAGAATTGGCTGCAAAAGGAAAAAAAGGGCCTTCAAATAAAAGATCTTGTCATTAACCCCAACAAGTGTCACCCTGATGTTCCCTGACCTGCACAGTCTCCACTGAGCAGCTCCACACAGGGTGGGATGATACACTGATCCAGAGACGAGATGTGGCCGAGCGTCAGTTTGACCAGAAACGATCGGAGGCTGGCCGGCAGCAGAGAGAAGAAGAAGACCGGCAGGTAGGCCAGGTAACGCATCTGGCACAGCACAGGGGTCATGACCTTCCCCTGAGGACTCTGAGCCATCCGTTCGATGGTGGGAAACAGCATGATGGCCTTCAAGACCTGCGGCCGAAACATCTCAGAACGTCAGGGAGGAACAGGAACACGTCATCTGCAGCCACATGAATTTGATTTTCCGCTCAGTTTTCTGGATTTTCTGATTTATTTTAGACGCCTTTTCTCTTTGACATTTCAAACATTTAGAAACTGTTGTTGTTTTCATATTTTTGGGTCTTTTATTCTTTTTTGTTTTGTACCTTTTATACTTACAATATTTAACTATTTACAAAATTTAACTATTTACAAAAACAGCCATTTTACGCCACTTTTAGCTACTGTTCTGCTAATTTTAGATTTTACCTTGCCTTTTGTTACCATTTCCTTTAGCTAGTCTTTTTCTACTTTTGCTTTTTTTTACCTTGCCTTTGGCTACTTTTGGCCTTAGCCTTTTGCAACATTTGGCATCTAGTTAATCTTTAAATACTAGCAAGCAAATTAGCTACTTTTAACTTTTCTTTTTTTTTTTCACTTTAGCTAGCCTTTTTGTATCTTTTAGCTCTTAGTAAACCTTTTGTTACATTTAGCTACCGTTATGCTACTTTTAGCATTTATTTTATTCCCTGGTATTAATTTTTAGCCTTTATCTACTTTTAGCTACCAATATGCTACATTTTAGCTTTAGCTTGCTTTCATCTCTACTTTTCCATTTATCGAGCCTTTTACTGTTTTTAACTTTTAGCTAGTATTTTTGCTACTTTTATCTCGTGTTCTGCTTCCTTTAGCTTTAGTAACTCAACTTTCAGCTCCTTCAATACATTTCTTTCAGCTCTCTGTGCTGTGTTTAAACTGCATGTTCACAAAAACATGATCTTTATTTTTATATTTATATCTAAATTCTGCAGAAACTGTTATCATTTTTTTAGGCTTATTTTTCTGTTGGAGACCAAACTTGATTTTGATTTCTGCGTGTGAGTAGTAAAAGCTTCGACTTTGACCTTAAGTTCAGGGTTCCTCTTTATCATCTCCAGGATGATGTAACAACCGATGGAGTGGCCCACCAGAACCAAACCGGTTTCTCTGGGAACGCGTTCCCTGAGGAAGGCCAGCTTGTGCTCGATCTGTCCGTTCAGGCCGAACACATCGTCCCTCTCTGCTGCTGAGGCATCTGCCAAAGGGAAACAACAAAACCTTGCTGCTGAAAAAGTCACCAAATTTCAGCTGTAAAACTGACTGAGTTTTTGCCTTTTTTAATTTTTTGCTCCCAGGCAAGAGGTGGGCAATAAAAAATGAAACAATTGTAAATGTCTGCATGGTTAGTTTGTGTTGGAGAAGTGTATTAAAAGTAATAAAATAAAGCACGTGGTGAATCTGTTTAAGTTCTGAAAAGCAGCAGGAATGATGTGTCTGTTCCTGCTCAGAACCCGTGTCTGATCCATACCTTCCACCATGTCCATGGAGTAGGGCGGGGCACAATGTCCAGCATGGCTCAGAGCCCACACTGGGTGCCCCGACGAACTGTGAAGCGTCTGCATGAAAGTTTTATAGAACCCAACTACACCCGGGTTCCCTGTGCAGGAAAAAAAAGACTTGATCAGTAACAATATACCCCCATAACAAGTGAAGAAAATGTTTTCTTTTACATAATCGGACATCTTATTTCTGAGCTTTGAGGATTTTTTGTTTTGAACAAGAAAAAAAAACAGCTAACCACAAACAAATTCAGCAAATTTTGCAACCAAAAGTGCTTAAAAATACCTGTTCTTTTTTAAACCGTACCTCAAAAGCAAGAAAGCTACATTTGTGACCAAAAGCTGTCTAAAAACAAAAAACAGATAAATTGAATGAGGATTCAAAAGTTTCAGTAACTCGCCTGGGATGATAAGAAAAAGCAGCTTGTGTTCTGAAAACAAGTGACTGGCTCCACATGTTAGCAGCTCTGTGACGGCTCCACAGCAGTAGATAAACTCTGACTGTGGATCATTCTTCCTGTGCTCCATCTGATCTGCAGCGAGAGACAAACTGATCATCAGTTAAAATCATTTTACAGCCCCAAAATCCCACCATAGACTAATTACACAAAAATCCACTCAAGTACAACATTAGGCCTCGGAAAAATTAATATGTTATGAATATATTCTGGATTTTAAGACAACATTGATAGTTAAAACAGATCCATTTTATTCAAACATTAGCAGTAGACTGATTATTTAGCCAATATTTGCCACATATAAAATTGGGAGTAGGGCAAATTTAACAAATTACCAATGAGGAACACTGTGTAGTTTTATTACGCTATCTATCAAACTGGATACTACGCTTTTATATAGGTACTAAATACCTCACAGTATAGGTAAAAAAAAGAAGCTACCGGTATTTAAAGCTGAATTGAAGTAAAAATTAGGCAATAAAAAATAGCTCATATATAAAAACTTTAAAGAATATGAGTCAGCTGTGTTTCCAGTGGGTTATTAACCCAAAGCAGGGACCAGACTCCACAGCATATCCAGAGAGGTATTAAACCAGTGTACTGAACCGACTCGTGCGTGTGCCCGCAGCATGTGGGTTTGCTGGTCCTTTTGGTGTAACTGTTAACTCACTGACGTTTACCTGTAGTCTGCCAGAGGACATGAAGGATTAATATAGACCACAGATATGTGGGTCCTGGTTCAGTGTGAGGACTTGAACCGTTAACTTAACCGACCAGCTCTAGTTAAAAGCCAAGACAGACAGTGCTCATTCTGTTTATATATATTTCTTTTTTATTTTAAACAATCTCATGATTTTTGGAATGTGGCCCCTGATATTAAAATCCTGAAAACGCCCCTGTGTTGCAGGACTTTTATCAGCAGAGAGTCCAAAGGTGATTTATTCAGGTCAGAGATTAAAACAAAACGTCACAATCATTTTAGCTAACAGTCAAATTTTACATTAAGGTCCAATATTAGAGTTTCAATTCGAGTGAACTCAGTTTTACAAACACAGGAGAGATAAATCATCATATACAATCATGTCACCTTATGAAAAACACAAAAACATACTTTAGTGCGGTAAGTTAGGTTGTATAAGTGTAGCAAATACAGTTTACCTTTTTATTATTGATTAAATAAGCAGGTTATCCTCTTAATAATCGATATCACTCCTTCCTGTCTCCTGTTTGCAAGTCTCTGCCGGTTTGGTTCCCGATTGGTCAGTTGACCGGTAGTTTGTCGCTGCGTTTTTGTACTGCTTAGACTCGGATTTTTATATTTTCCGAAAAATAATTAAAATATAACTCATACTTATTTCGTTTTTTTGATAATGTAAAATCAAAAAGCTGAGTTATTTGTTTCGTCTTGGATTTAAATAATTCTAACCAAATATTACTCGTTAATATCAAAACAACGCAACATTAGGCGTCGTAAGTATTTACATTTTGGAGGTGCAGTGAACGCAACGGAAGATACCCTTTCTTTTTCTTTGTAACAAAGCGGCGCCCATCCAGCTCACGATACCATGATCGCCCCCTGCCGGTCAGAAAAAAACACGAGATTTGTTCAAGAAAATTAAACAAACAAGACAAAATCAAGAGAATTAAAATATTTGCATAAGTGAATTCTTTAATTTTACTTTTACTTTGAACACAGCATTCATACAGTGTGATAGTTATATTAATATGTAAATAAAGGTTATGAATACAGTACTGTGGTGGAAAATTAGGATTTTCTGACATGTCAGCAGAACTGTCATGTACACGTGTCTGATCACAATGTGGGTCAAACTGACCTTTCTACTGAGTCATACAGCTGGCATCCTTATGTGTTTTAGAGCAACTTAGCTGCTACAAAAACCTTCTGTTCATGTGTTAGAGCAAACATATTTCATTGTTTGGAACCGTTTTAATCCCTGTGACTTTCTACTTGACAATTCTTTGCATAAAATAAGATTTTTAAAAATTTGCAAACCTTGGTCTTCCTGTATCTCTTATCATTCCTGCCATGACAAATACTGATTTAATCTTTGCTACACTTTCAAACTTATTGGGTCCAAAGTGTACCTAACTTTTTTTAAAATGAATTTCTTAGAAAATATATGCATATCTATAGCCAGGAACATAAAATTTATAGCTTCTCTTTATAATTTTCATTAATTTTAGACTTTAAAGAAAAAATACAGATGTGTTCTGCAGTGCAAGATGTATCGTTATGACATTTAGACATTTTGCATTTAAAGTAACACTTTTGGCCAAAATGTTATATTTAAAGTATTCAATCAAACTTAAACACGCATGTTTCTTTGGCGCATACAGCTTTGGTCCGATCCAAGTCCTCAACCAGATCAAATACAAACAGGAATACATAATGAATTCAGATTTATTTAAACCTTTTTTAATTGCTTTTTAATCTTGTTTTTAGGTAAAAAAAAAAAAAGGCTTTTTGGACATTCCCTGCCAAAATAAGTTGGAGCACAAATTTTTAGCAATTCAGTCCACAATTTCTCTCAAACACAAATTATTAATAAAACTAGATTTATGTCAAATTATTTCTGCTTATGTAAAAACATTTTTGACATATTTCTATGAAACTATTTATGAAGTTACATTGACACAAAGAAAGCTAGATTTCTTTGAATATCTTGCATCAAAGCAGCAAACTGTTGCTTGAAATTTGCCATTATGTGCAAACGTTTAGCTTATCTTTACATTAAAAAAAAAAAGATCACAACGTAACATTTAATTAGAGCAATGCTGCTATACTGTCCTGCAAATAATGGACAACAGTGTGATTTCATCTAGAGCTCAGATGGAATAAACTTCATGATTCTGTAGAAAACATTTAACAGTTTTTATTGCAAACTTTGAAAACAAACATGAAAAAGGTTAATTTGAACTATATCAAACGGTGTAGTCTGAAAGAGTTTGTTCCAGCATTTCTTCTGAAATGTGGGTTCACATTCAATGTAAACAAAGCATGAGTCATATGACTGACCTACATTAAGCTGGCTGTCATCGGTGTAACACATGTAGAGGTTTAGTTTACCGTTTCACCTATTTTCAGTCAGAATTTAGACTTTAAATTTTATTTATTTATGTGGCTAAACATGCAAAAAGTTAGGTTTTTTTTTTTTTTACTTCTGAATAATTCATGAATTATAACTTAACTCCAAATCTGGCTCATTTTTAAAATCCTAAAAGTTTCTGCATAGCTGTATCAGTGCCAGAACTCAAGAAAGCTTGAACTAATTTCTATAGCTGCTCAGAACCTACATATTGGAGTGAATGAGGAAGAAGCTGAACAATCTGATCTTCATCACTCCGTCCATCCCGACTTGACTCACTGCAGTAAAACTAACATTTCCCTTTATTCTATCATGAAACTCCAAAGATTTTCTGTTTTATCACCAACAAACAGTCACTTAATCAGCAGGTCATAATTGTATTAATCATCTATTTTTTCTTGGCAAAAACATTGTTCGCACCCATTTAGCCAAAAGAAAGGTTTCACCATCAGATCCGAGTCGGCCATTCGTTGAAGGATTTCCACTGGAAAGGTAAGGGAATCTCAACGTCCACCTTTTCTTTACCTACTCTGACGTACGGGGCCGTGTTCTGAGACGTCTTTCTCATTAGATCCACACTTTCAGTGAGTGCTTCTGAGATATTTGACTGTAAAACGCTGATAAACTGCTGGGTGCCGCTGTTTACTCTCTCCATACGTAAAACGCCAGAAGCCTCGTGAAGCTTCAGTTTCAGGAGGGTTTTACACTCAGCTGCGTATTTCTGAGCTTTGTCTGTGGTCTGCTTTGAAGACCGAAGGATTTCAGAAAACATGGCATCGACCTGAGGAGAAAGCTCAGTGTTTTGAGCTTTCAGGTAGGTGAGGAGACTTTCTGCATTTTCAGCAATTATCTGCAAGTCTACTTTATCTCTCAAATAAGACCTTAGATGATAATTTGCTGCATTTATTTCAGCAGTCAGGTTGTCCATGAGCTCATGTCCATTAACAAGAACATCAGTTCCAGGTACGATGAACTCGATGCTCCTTATGTATGCAGAAATCTTCTCCAAGAGTCTAAAAAACTGCAGACTTGCCCCGTCAAAGGCTTCTGACGCAGACTGATGAGCTTCCTGGATTATCTCTACGATGGAAAGCTCCCTCTCTGATCCAGGTAGTGTGAACTTTTTATTCTCCAAAAACTCAATGACACGTTCTAACAAGACTTCAATTCTGTTCTGGATGTTTCTAAAAGAAGTTGTAAACTCCAGGACCATTGTGTCTGAAAATTCCTGCAAGTCCGTGGACATCAAGCTGTCAGAAACCTTTGTGTACGTGTCTTTTCCCTGATCGGCGAAGGTTTGGATTAAATCCTGCAGTGTGGTAAACAAAACCGAAACCCCGCCATGAACCGTCTCTATCAGGTTAGAAACGGCGTTCTTCAGTTTTACACCACCTCGGTTCAGATCGAATCCAAAGTGTGAGCTGTGATATTTGTTAATAAACTTCAGGAGAGCGTTAGTCATCTCAGGAATCCGGTTCTTTAAGCCCTCGATCACGTCACCGAAGAAGTCCCAGTTCCACGACGTCTGCAGGACCAGCTTGTTTGCGTTCCTCAGGGAGGCCTTTGCAGTGAAAGCGTTGGTATCTTTCTCAGGAGAGGACTGAAGATGAAAGAGGAAAAAAAGTTCACAGATTTGACGCTGATTTTGGTGCTGAAATAAAATTTCAGAGGTTTTATCTCCAAGACCTCATGTGCATCGTATAGGTTCAGGAATTTCATTCACATATTTAGGATTGAGTAAAAATTTTGCAAACCCAACACGTTCCACACCAAGTCCAGAGTAAAACATTTACTCTGGTGACAAGAAGAGAAAACTAACGCAAGAAAAACGGTCTCACCAGGTAACGGCCGAACAATTTCCCATGAAGCTGTGATGGAGATCTTCTCTGGAGATGCAGTCCGAGGAAACCAGCCGACGGAGACGACACAGATGCAGTGATGCCGTCTTTTCTTGAAGCAAATCGAAAGTTCGCATCGGCAAATGTTCGACTGCTGACGTCAATATTCAGAGTGTGACGAGATTCCCTTCAAAAAAGTAAATTGTCGTAAGTGACATTGTTTTGATGCACATTAGTTTGAACTGTGTTGAGAACTTTGGCCAATAAGCAGAGAAGCAAAAGCAGACTCACTGGCTCACTGAGTCGCCTCGAGAGATTTGACGCTTAGCTCTGAAAATTTTAAAAATTAGATTTAGCATTTAGAATAAGATTTAGTGTTAGATTTTTGCTGCATCTTGAAGTCAAAACCATCAAACTGTAATATTGTTACAGGCAAAACATGGGGCCTACAATCCAGTCATAATCAGAAAATTCTGTTAATATTCATATAATGCAAAAATTATATGTAAAGATTTATAAAATATCATATGCTGTGAAGAGGCTGGAGCCGTTTTGTGGCGGCAGTAATCTACCATTTTCTTGAACCCACTCAAGCTAGTCGTTAGCTCATCAATCTCACGAGATTTCTCTGGGGTCATTTAAAGAGCTATCTACAATAATTAACATTAACTGTTTATAACTCATTCACAAAACATTATTTCACAGTGTCTGAATTATTCATTATGATGTAAAATACAAATACAGAATGAACTCTTACCGAAGGGGCTGTGCCAAAACATGTAGCCAATTTACATTGATGTCACTGTGGATCAACTTGCCCATCCCGTTCAAATTAGTTGTTCCTTTATCATAGCTAACCATTGCACTAGCTGAGGAAACATGAGAGGAAAATTAAATAATAATTTTAGACATTTTCAGTGTAAAAATCAATGCAGATCAAGTGGAGGATGTCTTACCAGTGAGATCATATTTCAAAAAGACCATTGTTGAGGCACAGCTGGAGTTGAGTGACGTCATAAGGTCAGTGCCCTCCCTATTTACTGAGGCAGTCGATGACACGTTATAAATATTGGAGGAAATGTTTAGAGAAGCACTGAGGGCCCCAAAAGTTGGGATGACCACACTTGAAGGCAGATGTAGGGTGATTTCAGGGATTTCAACCTTTTGTTTTGGGATTACAATGGTTGGAAGTTGAAAATTTGAAATCTGACTCGTGAGGTCATCCAGGCTGATGGTGTAGTCTCCGATGGTGAATGATTTGGGCAGAGCAAAGGAAGACACAGAGATCTCATGTTCTGGAATCCTGACCAACATATTACCCTGAAGATACTCCATGTTGATGTCGTAACTCGGCACAGACATTATGGGCAAGCTGGGCAGCATGATGTCGAAAGCCTTGGTGGTGATTAGTTTAGGGATGTTAAGGTTCTTGGGATCAATCACAAATGGTTCTACATGCAAGTTGGTAAATGGAACACCAAAAGCCGGGACTGAGAGCACAGGGGGAATGGTTAGATGATCCGGGACTTTAACACTTTCGAATCTCATATCGATGTTCCTGACAGATTGAGGAATTTCTTTTACCCAAGATCCCAATGGAATTCTGATCTCTGGGACGCTAATCATGACACCATTTTCAAATACTTTAGATGGTATATGGAACTCGTAGCTGTCCAAGCTCTTGGTGTACATAAGACTGGAAGAGATGTTTAAGAATTGGAAGCTATTGATGTTTGTGACTTCGTCAAATTTGAGCACATCCCACAGGGTTCTTTGATAAACAGGAAGTTTGACTGTTTTCAAGAATGCCAGGTGACCCTCCACTGATTCAGTCAGTTTCACAGCTGCTTCAGATTCATCGTTGAAAACCATTAAATCACAAACATGAATGAGAGATGACAGCTGTTCCTTTCTGCTCCAGGTGAAGGACTGTTTCTCAGAGCTGATGGCCAGGTTGATGCTCTGAACAAGCCCAGCACGACCCAAACTAGTCAACTGACTCACATCGGTGTCCAGTGATGTCTTGAAGCTTGTCAAAGGAACAAAATCTATTTCTCCCTTGACAATGTGGTTTCCACTTGTGTCGAAAGATTCCAAATTAACATTGTTGTTGCTGATATAATCAAGTGTTGCAAAAACACGCCGCAAGGAAGCATCAAGAGCTAGATCATTGGTCAGACCAAACGAGAAGAGTTTGTTGGGCAAGCTTCGTTTTTGTTTGTCCTGTTTATCTAGTTTTAAGTTCAAGGCTGTGCTGGTAGTTGTACGCAGGTTATTGGCACTGATGTAGACATTTTTCTTATTTTCCAAATCTCCAACAAAATTTAAACTGCCCACTGTTATGTCAGACTTGCCTAAGGTAGAAGTATCCAGCAACAAAGAAGGGGAAAGCGCTTCCAGTTCCCAGTTCATGTCAAAGTTTCCTTTGCCAACAGATGCAATCTGTGGAATATCAAACATGTACATAAAGGTTTTCTTAAATGACGCATGTGGCTTGGTCTTTGAATTTCCGGTGAGCTCTTGATTGACTTCCATTTGGAGAAGTGGTGAATTAATTTTCACAGTGTTGGTCACAGAAGCTTCCATTATTCTCTTGGTGAGGCTAATAGAACATTCATGGTTGGCTTCTACATTACTGTGCTCTAGAGACACAGAGGACGCCAGTTTTAATCCCCTTGTCCTTGTCATACTAGTGGTGCCATCAAGCTTCCCATTCAAAATGTCAAACACAGACACTGACAAAGCACCAAACCGAGCAACAACGTCTGACTGATTGTAAAGGCCTGCGTTAGCATTAACAGTGATTATGGTAGATTTGAAGGAGAAGTCACAGGTTATGTTGCCCATAGCTGGGATCACAATGCTGTCCTGAACAGCTGGTAGAGTAAAAGATGGTAGCGTTATTTCACTTAGAGTCTCTGGCACATGGATTACAGGGAATTTAGGAGATGGCAGTACAAGTATGTAAGATGGTACAAAGAAACCCAGTGCTGGAACTCTGAAGCTTGGTGTGCTGACCTCTTTGGGGACAAAATAACTAAAGGCTGGCATCTCTGCACTGAAAGCAGAGACTTGTATGTTAAGTATTGGTATTTTGTATCCAGGAACTCTGAAGATTCTTGGAGGCAGGCTAGAAGTGTCAATTTTGTGTTTAATGTACTGTAACTTTGCCTCATTGTATGACTCCTTCAGGTAGGTAACTACTTTGTCTCTGTATGCTTCAAACTGACTCTGAATGGTTTTGGCATTGTCACTGATTGAGTTGTAGATTGGTTCGAGGTGCAATTTAAAGCTGTGTATGTCAGGGTTCTTGTGGTATTGAAGCTTCAGGTTCATGTCAAATGACTGTTGAGGGTTGAGAAGCAATGATTTCAGGCCAGCATCTTCCCACAGGGAAAAGTCTCTGACCTCAGGGGTTTCTATTTTGAGACAGGGTACAGTCATTTTTGGGACTGAAAGAGGAACTGTCAAAAAGTCCAAATTAGCTTCTCCATCAGCTAAAAATTGGGAGTACATGTCTTTTTCATTGTTTTCTGCTGTAAAGTTATGACTGTACTTGTACTGATTGAACCTTGCCAAAGCAAACCAAAATGCCAGTTGTTTCTCAGAGTTTAGTGCAACACCATAATCATGCTGGAGATCAACCTTACCAGTAAGTTTTAGGGGTAAGAAGACTTTTGAGTTTACTTTGTTCTTAACATCAATAACAATCTCAAATGGATGGGCCTTGAACTCCAACAAATTGGACATGGTTCCTATCAGAACTCCCATGAATTCAGCATCATGAAAGGCTGTCAGTGACACTTTCAAGTCCCCAAAATGAGCTTCTCCATTTAAAACCGTAACACTCTTCTTGACAGACGAAGATTCAACTTCACATCTAGCTTCTACAATGATGTGACTTAAGATCACAGACTCGGCAGTCAGTGTTTGCCTCGATTTTAGGGTCTTACAGTCTGTTTCTCCTTCATATCTCAGCTTTGCACTGCTGAAATCAACATTGAACTCTAGATTGCTTTTGTGCGTACCTTCATCAGAGAAGTTTTGAATTGACCACTGTCCATTACTACTTGTTTCACCCGTCACAGTAATGGCACCAGATACCATTCTAGCTGCTATGCTTTGTTTCATTGATGCCTGACTTGATATTTCTTTTGACAGGATGACCAGGTTGTGGTTGTAGGTTGTGTCTATCACTGTATATATTCCACCCTTTAATGAAAGAGCCACAGTATTGGTCAGATCAGCTGTGTACATTTGGGTTGTGGCCTTGGTGGTAGTCTTAGCAGAAGCCTCAGCTGAAGATCCAGTGAGTGTCAGAGAGCCTTCGTGGTCAACCGAGAAGGCCATATGTGTCGCCTTCATGGTTTCTGTGAATTGCAGCTTCTTCATTCTGGGAGCCTCCAGCCGAGCAGTGGCTTCAAATGCATGCTCCAGGATCTCAAAGGGTGACCGTGCACGAGACGTAACCGTGGCTGTAAACTGTGGATTTTTCAAAGTAGAAGTTGAGTTCTCCATTTTTGCTGTAGTTACAAGAGTATAGTGTGGGGAAGTAATGCTAAATTCTCCATGGAGTTTACCAAAAACTGGGATACAGATGTCACTGGGAATCTTGGGTAATTTAATGTCTGGAATGGTAAGCATCGTGATTTCAAAGTCTTCCAGTTTTGATTTGGGGATGCTCAGCGCAGGAAATCTGATCGCTGAAAGAATAATTTCTGGGAAGGTGAGGTCTGGCAGGTCAGATAGGTAGAGGACTTTCAGGTCACCAAAAATGTCCTCCGGATCAGGCGCATGGATCTCAAACGCTCGGATGTCATCTATGATTGCGACTATCTTAGCCTTGACCTCAGTGAAGTCTATAGTGAAGGCAGGGATTGTGTATGTTCCAAGGATGGTGATTTCTGGAAATAATATTTGAACTGGAATGCTGATTTCCTGCAGTTTGTTAATGTTGACAGTGAACCCTGGTATGACAAGGTCAGTAAGAGGGACAGCAAATGTCGGGACTTCAACCTTGGCTCTTTTCAGTCGGTCCAGAACTCCATCTACAGCTTGCTTCACCTGGTTAAAGACCTCCTTGTCATTAGTCATGTTTTTGATCCACTCCATCAGTCCATTAAACTGTGCAGAAAAGAAAATAACCATGTTTTTGTAGGATTCACTGGCTCTCTGGAGATAGATGTAAATTTCCTCTCTAATATCCATGTCAAGAATTCTTTGCCTCATGTCCTCAAGAATATCCTGCACTTTCAGTTTCATGTCATTGTAAAAAGCAGTGTCAATCACATTTTTCAGTCTCTTTAAAGCATCAGCCACCTTCGTGTTTTTGAGTTCATCCAGATATGTGTAAATGGAAGTCTGGATCTCTCTTAAAAACTGTCTGAGAGCCTCAGTCTTTTTTACAATCTCATATTTTTTTATTTCTTCATTAACATAATTTGCTATCTCAACAATTTTCATGTTTGTCTTATCGACAAATTCGTCATAATCAAAGTCCTTCAACGTCTCAAGTATTGAAGAGATGTGTTCATTAAGGTCATTGATGCTTTGATTAAAGTCAGTTTCTCTAAGCGTGCTTGTCACACTGTACAGAAAGTCCATAATTTTATTATGAAGAATTTCAAATTTGATAGATTTTAGAGCCTCTCCAACTGACTTCACCATTTCTTCAATTTTCCATTGTTTTACAAGAATCACTACCTGATCCATTAAATCTTTGAAAATGTTGTTCAGCTCATATTTCACAATTATATCCCTGAAGTAGGAATACACTGCATTTAGTTTGTTGGGGATTTCATACTCATCTATCCAGTTGACGATTACTTCGTTCATTGATTCCATCACTTTTGCTATTTCCAAAGCTGGGATTTGATATGTAAACTGCTCAATGAAAGAAGCCCAGTCAGTAGAAAGAAGGTAATTTTTTACACCTTCTAAGAAGTTAGCCATGTTGAAGTCCTCAAGAAAGTGTTTCAGTTCCGACAGTTTTTCTTTGATCGTCTCCATGATTCCGTATTTAGAATCAAGCACTTGCAGAAACGCGGCACTGCTTTCCCCAAGTTTTTGCAGATCTATTTGTCCAATAATATCTTCAATGACATTAAGTGCTTTGACAAAGGATTTCTTAATTTCATATTTTTCATCAAAAGCCTGAAGCTGATCTCCAATGTGTGAAATTACACTTTCTATCTTATCTGTGAGACGTCCTTCTTTGACAAACTCCTCAATTTCAAAGATAAAATTTCTAACTTTAGTGATTATGTCCATTACGTTTTTTTCCAAATTTTGTTTAAGACTGCTTGTTGCATCCTCTAAGTCTTCCATTGTTACGGAAAACTCGTTAATCAAATAGTCAAGTTTTTCTTTGACTTGAGTCACTTTGTTCTCCAAGTCCATTTTTCGCATAAAGTTCTTCACATGCATTGGTAGCCGATCTAAGCTAGCTCTGAAGTCAGCAATGAGCTCATTTATATTTAAACTTGTTATGAACTGTTGTAGGGACTCTAAGCCTTGTATGAGTATGTTTTTTAGCCTTTCAAAAGCAGCAGGGAAGCTTTCAATGAATGGGATTTCAATTATGGAGCAGTCACTGTTCTTGTCGTACTTTAGAAAACCAGCCACACTAAACATTTGTGTTTCTGGTCTTGATCTTTTATGTCTACTGAGGAAATCTGTTAGGAGTCCTCCTGAAAACTCAACACCAACCCTCTCATGATTATTGTAAGCTGTGACATCCTGCTCGTAAGCATGGTTGTTCAGTTTGGAGTTTACTTTCCAGTCCAGAGATTGGTCATTTGGAGTCAGGAGACCTTCAAATTTGTTGCCTAAACTTGTGGAGCATGCCCCCTTTCGAAGGCGATGAGTGGTTGATACTTGGCTGTCATGTGAGTATGCAAGAGCCAAGGGTGCAGCTTTAAACAACAACTTGCTGTAGAGTTGTCCAGCGTGCTTTCCGTATAGATTTATCTTTCCATCGCTGTTAACCAAAGCATCAATGCTCACACTGAACGGCAGCGCTATGGTGCGCAATGTGCCGTCAAAGCGCAGAGGTTCAGAATTTAATTGCGCCTCACACTTTGACGTCAAAGAAAATCCTGCAAACTCAAGCTCACAGTTTTGACTCAACTTTGCATCCATTATGTTTCCAGATGTGCTGTATTTCATTGACCCAGATAAATCCTTATAGGCGAGTTCATAGGTATGGTCAATGTTGTGTTCTTCTCTGTAAGCTCCCCTCAAACTTCCACTGAGGTCCAACTTTACTGGCTCAAGCTTCCCAAGACTTTCTTTATTCAACCTCAGGTCATAAAATTTGAGGTCACTAGTTATGTTGAACCCCAAAACAAATGGCTTTACATCAACCTTTGTGTTTTGTCTGTAGTAAACATCTTCACAGGTAGAGGTGTCTGTCTTGGCGCGGAGGGTGATTGTCCACAAAGTTAGGGTCAGTGTATAGCTGTTTTCAGTTTTCAACTGTCTCAATGTTCCCTTTGTATTTCCAGAAAAAGTCAGAGCTCTTCTGTTCAGTATGACATTCATGCTGTTTGTTGTGGATGCATCGTATGCATGGCCCTTAAATACACCATCCAAAGAGGCCTCTGAAGATGTGATTTTACCCTCAACATTCAGCTCTCCTCTACTTTCCTCAGCCATCGCTTTGGTAGTTGAAGAAATGGAAGCTCCGTTAAAATCGATGACACCATTAAAGATATTCTCCACGGTCACAGGGCTGCACTGAATGCTATTCATTCCACCAAAGATTACACCACCTTTTCCAACTCTTACAGAAGCTTTATGTAATCCACGGCCCGCGTCAAAGATGAGGGAACCCTCAGAGTTCACCTCAAGCTCATTTGAATTAAGAGATCCAGTTATGAGTGAGTAAATTCTGCTTGTGTCATCATCAACCTGTGATTCAATTCTGAAGATGGACATATCGTTTGATATACCAAGCTCAACATGGTTGTTGAGGAATTTTCCCATTGCTGAACCAACAGCTTTGCACTTCAGGGTCAGTTGTGTGTCTTTGTACTTGAGTTCTGCCATGTGCTTGAAAATGTCTTTCTGGGCACTGGTTTTGGAGATGATGTTTAACTCAGAGTTTGCATAAACGCCTTGGATCATGTTCTGAAACTGGATGAAGGGTGACTCAAAGCGTAAGGTGGACTCTCCTCTTCCTTCTCGATCCAGTGGACGGAGGTTGTAGTTGTGTGTGTATGAGGCGGTGGTGTTGAATGAACCTAGCTTTAGTAGTCCATCTACAGTTCCATCTCCTAAGACTTCATCAGAATCCAGAGTGGAAGTTGACTGAGCAGAATAATAGAGAAAAGCATGAAGACCTAATATACTGGAGGCCTCCATCTTGTAATTGGCTTTTGCATTAAGTTTGTTTGCCACCCTTAAGGTTTCTAAGACACTGAAGCTTGTGTCAATGAGGATGTGACTGAAAGAACTATTCAAAATATATTTGAGATGGTCATCGGCTGTTCCTGATATCATCCCAGCCCCTAGAAACAGAGAAAGGTAAAATGAAAGGGCTGTTTCTCAAACTGCCTACTCCAGATTTCATCTTTTCAAACAGAAGTGTAAGTAACCTAAAATAAAAGTATTATTAGAACATGTTTGGGTTGTTTACCTTCAAATTTGTATGATAGCAGACTTAAAGGTGACTGAGCCACGGCCTTGTACTGCACAACATAATTGGGAACATCAATTGTGTTGTTGCCCCCAGAGATTGAGCCTTCCCAATTATAGAAGTTGCTGTGGATCTTGGTTGATGCTTCAGCCAGACCAAGAAGCGGAACAGTGATGTCTACAGATGGTGGTACAGTGAACGTTGGTAGCACATACTTCTTGGCTGGGATATTCAACCCTATCTGTGGAAGATCTATGATGGGAACAGACAAAGTCTTTGGAAAGTTCAGTTCTTCTGACTTTTTGCCTCCAAATGGGAGAGGAAGGTGGAAGATCATCTTATCCATGTTGAACTGGTATCGAAACAAACTGTTACTGTTGAGGTAAAAAATTTACATGAGATGCCGTCAAATTGTTTCAGCTCTATTATATTTTGATGCATTTTACTTTTGCCTAAGCTCTGTTTTATAAACTTACGATTGCAAAAACAGTCTTTCAGGCAGAGGCGGCAAAGTGAAGTCCGAGCGGCTTCGCTTACTGCGAAGGTTTGCAAGGGACGGGAACCGTGCTGTCAGTTTGTCCAGCCAAATGTCACCTGCCTTCAGAGAGACACAAAGAACAAAAAACAACAATTTAAAATGTAATCAAATCTGTCCTGAAGCTGTTACCATCATGTACGTACAGAGATGGATTTTAGTGTAATGTATATTTTACAGCACATCTTTCCAGATGGCTCAAACAAATGGAGATTGTCGGGGAATTTGATTCATTTTTAATATTTCAAAAGTATTAAAATTTTGCTAGAAGTTAGATTATCCCAAGACCCAATCCCAATAAATCAATCTTAACATTTGTCTGATTGGAGGGACTACCTCAAATTGAGGAAACAAAATGTTGAAAGAAATTACGACAATACTGATTTGACCTCAATTGCTTTGGTGACGATGTGACGCAGTTTCATGTCCGTCTTTGTCACTCTTTGGTCCAAAAAATCATCAAGGAGTTGTTGCATCTGCCTGTAATAATCCTCTGCATTGGGCATCATTTCTTTTATCTCTGCATTCATGTCTGTTTTCAGTTCCAACTCCAACTTGTCATCATCTGCGAAGAAAAAATTCCATCCTCGAACACAAAGATCATTTATCTTCTGCTCCGATAATACCACTTAAAGTTACCTTGTTTCAAAGACACTCTCTGTTGGTACAAAGTCTTCGGGAGGTGGACGACTGTCTCCAAGTCCAGCTTCACGTTCTCATCATTTTTCAGGACTGCAGTGATGGATGCTTCACTTTTCAGCAAAGGAATGTCCATCTGGAGCTGCAGCATGGCCTCTCTCATCATGTCATGTCTAATATGAAAAAAAATTAGTAGGTTTACACTACAGACCCTGATCGGTTTAATTACTCCAGGACGTTTCATGAGTTACCTTGCTCGTCCCACTAGACTCAGCTGTGGGACGTTCTTGTTGGTGATATCAATGGTGAAGCCTCGCGACTTCTTTCCGTTGTGATCACCGTCGGTTAAAGCCATGTTTATGCTTGCCTCCACATCATAATCAGGAATTATAATCTCAGAGAAGATTAGATTTTTGTTGCGATTGTATTTCAGAGATGCCAAGGCCGCCATTGATTCTTCCCCTGTAATAATACCAGAAACAATTCTTAGCAGTTACATCACTAGATAATGACTTTTTAGATCAGTTTCTTTAACTTTATTATTACTTGCAAATGCAAGTAAAAAAAAAAGTTTGGACAGAGCTTAAACAAAAATGCTAATGCTAAATGCTGAAAAATACAAATAAATAAAAGCAAGACATTTTAAATCCAAAATGTCATGTTTTTTATTGGTCAATGTTTGTTCTTACAACACATTCCTTTTAACATTTTATTGTAAATTCCTTTTCAACAAAAAAATGTTTCTAATATCTCCAAGTTCTTTTTGGGAACTTATTAGTTATTTATTAATTCTGATACAGCAAAATTAAAATAAAAAAAGTAAGATAAGACATAACACCAAAATGAACAGCTGAAGGATTCAGGATGGGTTCAAGATACTTGCAACAATTCTGATTTTAATTTAAGAGAAAATTTGAAATGCAAACTCTTTGAGCATGTTTACAATTCTTGCAACACTAAAACAAGGCCCCGAGAATCCTGCTAGGAAACTGAGACCACTTGCAAATGTTACAAGATATTTTAGAAACCCCTGGAAATTCCAGTCAAAATTTGTCACCAACTGCCTTAACTTGGTGAGATTAATGAGAGTTGGTAGGAGAGATCACATTTCACCAGTTTTAGCTTCTCTCCATTGGATCCCTGTCAAGTCCAGAATAGAATTCAAAATCTTACTTCTAACCTACAAAGCTCTCAACAACCTAGCTCCATCTTATATTACAGATTCAACACAATCTGCTGCTTCCTTAGATAGAGAACTTTTACTAATTGGCTTTTATAATGTATGTAAATGTTTTTGTACAGTTACCTGAGACAACTGCTGTTGTGACATGGTGCTATATAAATAAACTGAGTTTAAATTGAATTGAACTGAAATACAGGCTTTAGGAACATCCTCCCAAAAGATTATGGTTGATTCAAGAACTTTATTTTTTATTTTGTGCTGTATAATTTGCTCTGCCATCATCATATTGATGTATATGAATAAAAATCATTCTCAAATTTTAACTAGCTCTAAAACACAAATAAATAGATTGTTTATATACCTAGCTTATATGGCTGGATGTAATCCAGTTTTCATTGTGTTCATTTACTCTAAACCAGGGGTCTGCAACCTGCGGCTCTGGGGCCACATGCGGCTCTTTGGTCCCTCCGCAGCGGCTCCTTCAAGCTTCGACCAAAACTAACATAAAACTGAATTTTATGTTTTTAAAAAAAAAATCACTAGTTTTAGCAGTTTTCCTGTAATAAGTACTAATAGTGCTAATACACAGAGTAAATTATACTTCAAATTTATGCTTTGTTTCTACAAAATAAGTTAATACACAATACAACAATTTCCTGTTGGATCAATAAAGTTCTATCTTATCAATTACTCCACAATTATAAAATCACATAAGCCTGCATAGTTTATGGTTTTAGTTTTTAAAAATTTGGCAAAATAATATAAATATATATATATTTTTTTTAATTTACAAGAATCCAGTCTTCTGTGATAGACTTGCGACTTGGACATAGGGCACCAGTGACCCTCTGCAACCCCCAAAAAAGAAATGGGTAAAGACAATGGATGATGGATGGAAAGAACCCAGTCATTTATTTTGTCTTAAAATGTAAAAACATTAATAAATGTTAAAAATCATTAGATGTTTTTAGTTTTATAATTTCACACCTACTGACCAGAAAAGCCCTCTCTAACAAACTTAAATTGGCCCATGGGCCACCAGTTGATAATGACAATTGTAGCAGGTTTTGTGGCTCTGGACACATTTAATTTAGTCAACAAAAGGACAAAAACAGCTCTTTTGGTTATAAAGGTTGCAGACCATTGCTCTAAAGCATTGCAGAAAATATTGAGAATGATTTTGAGCTTTTTGTTGAAAATGTCTAAAAGGTTATATGATGTAACCAAACTGTCCTTTGCACATTTCTATTCAAACTTGTCTTATATTTGTACCTTCTGCTCTCAGGGTTAGCTTCAGAGACTCGACTTTGTGTCGACCCTTCTTCCCCTCTCTGAGTGTTTCATCTGTGATGGTGGCGGTGTACTCTGAAACCGTCCCTGTGGGCTGGATTTCAACCCCAAACCTAATGTAAACAAAAGTTTTCATTAGTGTGTCTGTTAAATTCATGACCTTTTTCTTGTATATTTTGACTACCACCCAAATTTCCAATTTAAACAAGTTCAAACCCATCAGTAACTTTTGACTCAAGTTTTCTTTTTTGTGTGCATTTTTTTCTCACTTTGTCTCTCCAGTCAGGGGGTAATATGGAGCCTGGTTGACAGAGGTTGCATTGGAGTAGCGCACTATAGTGCACAGATTCAGTCCTCTGAACAGAGGCTGGCAGTCGGTTGAGTCAACCCGATCTTCCACCAGGGATGGCACTATGTTAGTTTGACCAGATGAGACAGACAGCAGCTTGTTGCTTCATCCAGAAACACAGAAAAGAAAGAAAATGAGTAACAGAACAGCAACGACCGAGAGGGTTTTACATCATCTGTCAGACGAGCTGCTGACCTGATGCTGAACAGCTGAGTGCTGGACTCTGGAGCAGGAACGGATAGTTTAATCTGGTTTCTGTTCACAGTTATTTTAGCATTAAATGAGCTCTCATGGTACATGTTAGTGTGCATCTCAATCCCTGCGTCCACATAATCTGGAATGTGCACACCCATCTGGGTGATGAATTCCAACCCAACTGAAGGCATGAAGGACAAGTCGGTCTGCAGCAAGAAGAAAGAGCAGTAGTGAACATTATGCATGCAACATCACAAGGTTTCACACACAGTACTTTCCATGATGGATAATAACGAGGAGGTAACCTACCATTGCTGAGGGAGTCAGGCCTCCTTTGGCACCAGGTGCAAACACACCTGAGAGGGAGAATCTGAGAGGAAACCCAGAAGCAGTGGGCAAACAAAAGGTGTTCTCCATGAAGATGTAATGGAAAAAGACCTCATTCTCAGTGCTGGATGTCAGCTTAAAGAAGGCCTTTTGGGAAAAACAATTACTTGGAGTTAAAAGATGTTCAAGACAACACTGAAAAATTATTTTTGGAACATGTCTAACCTGTGCAGGGAGGACCCTGATGAAAGCATGGTAGTACATGAAGAGAGTCTCGAACATTTGTCTCATCTCGCTGATCTTCACATACCCTATTTCATCTCCTAGAAGCCGGAGATAAGCCGTGGCTTCAGGAGTTGGAGCGAATCGCACGTCGTTGAGGAGTTTCTGGAAACCATTTCGGATCGCCTTCAGATGATCTTCGGGAACCTGGAAAGGTTTTAGCAGCTTATGTTTTAAACTACTTGAAAGAACTTCTCTGAGGTAAAGAGTCTAAAAATCACCTCTCTCCTCGTTCTGTCTCGACGTGGGGAAATCCTGTCCAGAAGTTGTCTGAACATCGGCACGCTGTCGCCTGCCAAGTTCACGAGTCTGGAGACCGATTCAGGGACAAAGCCCTTCTCCCCAAAAAGACCATAGATTGTTGGTTCAAATCCTGTCCCTTCAACACCAACCTTAAAAATTGATGTTTAAATGATTGTAAAAATACAATTCTCACAACGTGTAGAAATTTGTTGCTGAAACAGACCTCAAAAATGTCATAGTCGACGTCAAAAGCCTCCAGCGTGGCCTCCATCATCATCTCCTTTGGCATCGTGTTCCTGTCGTTGAAGATGATGTTGTTCTGTACCGAGCCCAGCGGAGAGTTCATTCTGTAATTTTGTGACAAACCATCGAGGACACCGTTTTTAGGTGTAGTCTGCAGAACCATCTTAATGGCCTCTTTGAGTCTGCGGGGGAAAAAACAAGCTGCTTAAGTTTTACCACAAATTTACTCATTTTGCTTTCTAGAGGAAAAACAAACAACATTTACTGAACTTTAAGAATCTTTTCAATGAATTTATCCTGCAGGAACATTGCTGCTTTCATTTAATAATAAAAAAAACTCTTGTTTGAGATGTCGGTTACTCACTCCAGTGTTTGATCATCAGAGCTGTGGAGGTTTTTCAGGTGTGACACCACAAAGTTCGTTATCTGGTCTTCCCTCTCATTCGTCAGACTGTTTACGATGTCTCTAATTAAAGTTTGATCTGGGTTCTTCATCAAGACCAGATAAGCTGCCAGACGTTTCTCCACAGGACTCTGGGGGTCCTGGAAGACCTCCATGAGCGTGTTCCTGATCTGCGCTCCACCAAATGAAAATAAAAACAAAAAACTCAGATCTCAATTAAAAATTCATACCAGTGTTCAATATATCACTACCTTTTCACTCGTTCCGTCATTTGATTTAACTATTTTTGCAATCTTTAAACAGTTTTTTGCCCATTTTTACTTCTAAAATCCTATTTTTACAGCCAGTCCTCTTATGACCCTATTGCCAATTAACTCACATCTTTGCTAAATGCTTCTTCAGCTGTTTTTTATTCATACAACTTACTTTTACAGCCTTTTGATGCCCCTGTACCCTTTTTTAATGCTCTGGTGCCATCCAATTTAAAATTACTTTATTTTTCCCCCTGAAAATAGTACAACTGTGTTCTGTTTTAAATAAAGAATGGGTTTACAGGATTAACAAATTATTTGTTCTTTTTTTTACAGTATTTACATTTTACACATTGTCCTAACTTGTTCTGAACTGGGGTTGTGAAAAAGTTTAGGTATGACACATGGGGTGTGGTGTGAATGCACCTCATCATTAATGTCCATCAGCCTAAAGGCTTGGATAGCCGCCTTTTGGTTTGATAAAGGAATGTCCGTTTTCTTGGCGCATTTTAGAACCGAAGAAACGAGAGATGGACTGACGTGTTGCATGGCCCGCCCCATGACTCCAACAACCTGGAGATGAGAGGAAAGAGAACAATCTCAACCTGGAGAAAAGAAGCCTTTCAGAGAGATGCTCTGACAAACGGTGGGGGATCTTAAAAAGTCTGTGAGATGTTTGTGTGGTTTTCAATACCCTCAGTACAAGGAAGGCCACCTCCTTTGGATCAGGAGGGGAGACCGAGTCAGAGTTCTGCACTTCCTCTGAGCAGTCGTTTAGGAGCATCTCCATGAACTCTGAAACATCTGTGACCTCTGGAGTAACTTCACCCTGATGGAACCTGTCAAGAAACAAAGATGTTATGAGTGATTATAGTTAAGTAAATGCTGATTCAGCATTCATAATATTTTGTTCATTTTTTTTTTTGTAATTTTTTTTTTTAATTAAACTGCTTTTCCATGTTATTTTACTGTTTTCTAATCAAAATGTTAATTCAGGAAATGATTGCTACAATTTCTGGTTTTATAACTTTGATACTTTTCAAAATACTTGACTTTGTTTACAGATATTTACCCCACAGAAATTATTTGCAATCTCTTCAATCCCTTCAAGAAAACATTGTTCTCTTCATATAATGCTTTATTTTGTCTCTTTGTGCTACTTTTAGCTTTTAGCTTGCTTTTTACTTTTAGCATTTAGATTCCCTTTCACCATCTTGTGCTTCCACTACCCATTGCTACTTTTAGCTCATAGTTATTCCTATACTGTAGCTTCATTTATCTAGCCTTTTATTGGATTGTTGAGAATGCATCAGGATAGCTAGCCTTTGGTTATGTTTAAGTTTAGGTGGTGTTTTCCCCCTTTTAGTTAATGTTTTTCTACTTTTAACAAGTTTGTACTTTAGATTTTTAACAATCGTTCCCTTTATTCAGCATTTGTGTTTTGCTCTATATAACATTTATTTTTCTTTTAGCTTTCAGCTAGTGTTCTGCAACACTAACTTTCATTTATTCTTCTCTATTTTTAATGTTTTGTGCCTTTCTGTCAATATTTTGCTACATTTAATAAGTTGGTGCTTTTTTCAAGCAAACTTTTGGTTTCTTTTAACATTAAGTTAGTGTTTTGCTCTATTTAGCAATATTTTTTACTAGCTTTCAGCTAGGGTTCTGCTACTTTTGGCTTTTAGTTACCCTTGTGCTACATTTAGCTTTTAGCTATAGCCTTTTGTTATATTTAGGTATGGGTAGTATTTTCTAGTTTTAATCAACATTTGCTACATTTAGTGTTTTGATGGTCTTTAGCTAGCCATATGATTCTTTTAGCTAGTATTTTGCTTTATTTAGTAATTATTTTTGCTTTTTTAGCTTTCGACTAGGGTTGCAATTTTTACCTTAGCAACACAATTTCAATTATTTCAGGAAATAATAAGTCAGCATCACAGAGCATTTTCATTTTAAAAAAAGGAAATTTCTGTTAATGGGTTGTTTCTTTGTTCTTCCTCAGTGTTTTCTGTATTTCTGTGTTTTAGGTTTTTTTTTTTTAATTTGAAGATATTTCCTGTGGTTTCTTGTGGACAAACTGAACAAACGGCTCTTTACTCACTTCTTGACGGTGTTTGCCAGCGCGTACATGATGGCTTTGCTCTGTTTGTACTGAGCCACGCTGAGCATGTCTCGCACACGTGAAGCATCTGGGCTCGCTTGCAGACTCAGCCCATAAACTAGAGCATCCACCTCAAGCCCGACCCCGTCAATGGTCCACGTGACCTGCATGATGGCGCTGGTGCACTCCGGGGTTCCACACTGGAACAGGGCCTGGAAGGTGAGCCAGCGGGACACGTCGACCATTTCAGCGACCGCCTGGCTGAGGGTCTCGTTCCTGAGGGCTCGCATGCTCAACACCAGCTTGTGGAAGAGGCTGGTTCTCTTCTGGCTCTGATCCGAACCTGCTAACGCCACCAGCTCCTGCAGGGTGCTCAGAACGGCATCCTTTGTCTGGACGGGAGTTTTATCCTCAGGGTCTTGGAAGTGGAGAGGCCGGGCCTGGTGGCGCTCTGCATCTGAGCGTTCATTTTTCAAATCAGAAGCTGCAGCAAAAAGCTTCACACAACTAAACAAAAACCAGCACTCACCAAAAATTCTGTTATCGCTCCTTTTCTCGCTCTGAAAGCGGAGATCTTGGGTCACCACAGAGGAGAGTCCATTTCCCCTGTGAGGCGGAGAAAGATTATGATTAAAAGGTTTATTTACATCCAGTGAAAAAGTTGTCAGGTTTGGTCTCACTCATGGGAAAACGGCAGGTATTTGTGTCTCTCTGTGCACGTGGCTGAGATGATGTGAGCTTCTTTGTCGTTGAACTGGTAGCTGCAGCTCTGAGTGCTTGTGATGAGTTTGGACATGGGGTTGTGCTGGGAACAAAAAGTCCAACTGTAAATGTATTAATTTTACAAGATAAATCCTTTCTTAATGAGCTGCAGCCCATTTATTTCACCAAAACCATAATTTGATCATAGGTGACCAAAAATGGAGCCAGCGTTTTAACCATTCCACTTGAATTAAAAGAGTTGGCTTATGTAGCTTTTATGATTTTCAAAATATTTAAACTTTATTTAAAATAAAATTCCCATAGACATGCATTTAAATCTTTTAGCTTATTTCAGAAACATTGTTTTATCTGAAATCATCTTCAGAGTGTTTACTAAAGCTACTTCTTAAGCTACTTTTAGTTTGTAGTTATTTTTCTGCTACTTTTAGCAACATTTCTGCTACTGTTGGGTTTTAGGGGCCCATGGTAGCTTGGTGATTTGATTTCGCTGCTGTCTTGCAATCCTGAGGTTGTAGGTTTGAGCCCAGGTTGATGCAAAACAATTGCCAAAAGTTGTAAACCAATTTGCTCTATGTGGCGAGTTCTGCAGAGGGGAGCAACCAAAAGAACATTTAGGTTTTAGCTAGCCCCTTTTTTACTTTTCAACTTTAGTTAGCCTTATGCTACTTTTAAGTAAAGTAAAGTAAAATGTGTTGTCATCATTGACAGTGTTGTATAAATGGGTAAATGAGGGCACAGATTGTAGTGTAAAGAGCTTCTTGATTGGATAGAAAGGCGCTATATAAGTCCAGTCCATTTACCATTTACTGTAGCTAAGCTTTTCATACTAGAATTGTTTAAGTACATTTTTACTTCTGTCCACTAGTGTTTTTTCCTTTTATCTTCTAGCTACCATTTTTTTATTTTAATGTTTTGCTATTTTTTTGCTACTTTTAGATTTTAACTAGCTTTTTGCTACTTTAGAGTTCTGCTTCTTTAGGCTTTAACAAGTTAATTTGACTTCAACAAAGTTCAGCAGTCCTTCATAGAAAATAATATTTCCCCTTTTTAATCTTTTTTTGTTTGTTTGTTTTTTTCAACTGATGAATATTTTTCTTTAACAACTTTGACTTGGGATTCCTCAGGGCTGCATTCTTAGATCCCTTTTTATTTCTTATTTGTAACCGGTTTGAAAAACCTTTTTTTTTTAAACTTCGGCTGTGTGTTTTGTTTAAAATTCTGGGATTAGACATTTGAGACATCATCAAACCATAACCAGGTTTTCACACTTTAATGTAGTATCATATGAGCTGTTGGAAACTCGGACCCAAAATTGCAAGAAAAATGGCAAATTTTCCAGTCTCAATGAATTCTGAGTGTTTGTGTCAGGTAACCAGACAGCCTTCTAGGTAAAGTTGGATGAACTAACTTATTAAAAACAAACGTGAAAACTGTTGAGGTTTTACGTCTTTTTGTTTTAGAATGGTGATAATATTAGCTTGTGAATTTAAATCCTGTAAGAACACTGAAAAGTGTCCATTGTCGAGTATAAAATAGTCAAGTTGCTCACCAGCTGTTGCAGCAGAGCCAATGGGCTGTTCACCAGCATTCTGCTGTAGAACTGGTCACACTGGGACAGATCTCTGGAAAGTGTCATGTCTGTGGGGACATTTTGTGTGGACTTCAATGTGAAACTTGTTAAACACCGGCCGTGCACCGTGCTCTGAAAAGGAATAAAAAAAACACGTGGATCTCAACATGTTAGAGAATAAATCCCAAGGGTGATTTATCTACAAATGATTGTTTTCTGTTAAACTGCTAAAAACAAGGTTATCCATATGAAAACCTTACATCACCACCAAGTTCAACCCTTATCTTTATCAAACATACACTAACCACGAGGCGGCTCTGGTCTTTCTCCATAATGGGCACCATGAAAGCAGAAACAATCCCTCTCTTAATATTCAGGATGTTCACGGCCTCGTCCGCTTCAGGATAAACCTGCACACGCGTCTCAGAATCCACATGGAACTTCAGAGGGGTCCTGGATGAAGAAACACACAATTTAGGAGACAAATCTTGGAAGAACCTAAACGAACTGCTTCATTTATGCTCTGTGTGTTTCATATGAAGATGGAAGATTTAAGATTTAAGACAAATCAGGAAATAAAGCCTAACCAAAAGTGAATAAACCTAATCATCCGCATCATCAGTCCCTTAATCTTGGGGGCAATATAAAAATCATTCACCAGCAATCTACGCCTTGGCCAATCCTCAGCAAGACCGGTGAAGACATGGAAAGGAAGCCCTGTCCATCTACTCATCGATGTGGGGGATGCTCTCCTTTTACAGGTTCATTCAGCTTTTCGTTGAAAGATTACATTCAACAGAGTTCCCTCGGCCTTCACTATTCAACCTTTGTTCTGCATTAAGAAGGAGTTTTGGTCTCTAATGAGGACTCTATTTTTGCAATGTGGGAGGATCAGTGGACCTGAAGCAGGAATCAGCAGCTGGCCATTTCAGATGCGCATATTAGTCTCTATCTCAACGTTCTGAGACAAGGCTTCTGCAGCATGGCTGACAAGACAAATGCATGTAAACATCTAACTTTGATAGCCATCAACACTCCTTCCAAACAAGTTTGAGTCTTGCTTGAGCACTGGCAGCTTTGCTAATCCTTGTCTTGACATTTATAACTAAGTTGGCCTCTGGTCGGAACAAAGACCAGAGGTAAAGGACTTGTTTATCTACTGTAATTGAGTTCTGTCTCCCTAACTATATCTTGTAAAGGAGTCCACGAGGCTCAATGACACTACCTTGTATAAATAAAGGTTGAATGAATAACAGGCTTCTGTTTACCAGAAACCATAGTCTTGTGGTGTTTTTTTTTTCCTCCACCAAGACTAATGTCCACTCCATGACTACAACTCACAAAGTCTAGGTTCTTTGCTTGAACAGTGGTAGAACCAGTTATAAGGTCTATCTATGTCATTGGCAAAGTGAAGATTAATGATTTCTCTCCCTCCCAGTCTGACAGAGAAATCATATTCTTCCAGTGTCTCAGATATATGTTCCAAAAATATATTGCACAATGTTGGCAGGAATATACAGCTTTTGATGCACCAACTGCAGTTGGAAAACACTAGCTGAAGTTGTTACCGACTGTTACTCTTTACTGCCAACCTACTACAATGTAAAATTAACAAAAAGCACAGATTCTGACAAACTTAGTAAATTCTTTATGCTTTTGTTATTAATGTGCAGCTTAATTGCAGCTCTGACTGTGAAAGTGAACAAGTCACCCTGTGCCCTGAGATGATTTCTGTTGTGACTTGGCGCTGAATTCCACCATCTTGGCACTAAACTGAACTGAATTGGATTAAATACAGTAAAAATGTCCTCAAAGCTGAAACAATTTGCTGCTTCAAAGACAAGTTTCACAATCACGTGAACCCCATTTAGCACTGACTTTTCCATGCTGGCTCTGAAGGCGTCTGATCCAGGCACCGGCTTGTAGACCGGCTGACCCTCAGGGTCCATGACGGACACTTCACTAAGAGTGCAGCCTCTGGTGTGCATGATGAATTTGCACATCTGGGGGACTTCGATCTCTACCTACGGATAAATGACAGCAGATGCACAGTCGGGGGTGTTCTGATAAGAGTTGTGTTACTGATCAAAGTGGGACACAGAAATAGGTTTTTGTTGTTACCTGGCAGGAGACTTTTGGTCCGTTTTGTAGGTTGGCTGTGCCCACAACCCCGTTCCGACTCCCAGCTGTGTACTGATACATGTATTTCTTATGAAGCTTAAACCTGGATGCCACTGCAAATGCATAAAATCACATGTTTTAGTGCGCTTCTTGCTGATAAGAGCTTATTCAGGCTTCTGAAGGATCATGCTTTTCTCTTGCATCAGAACTCTAAAGGCAGATTTCCACCTTTGAACTCCTCCGTGGACGAAAACTGGAGTTTGAAGCAGACAAAATAAGCTTTTTTTTAAAAAAAAAACTAGAAACAGATGCTGTTGCAGCAAAACAGGTCATCAGTTCAGAGAGCAGCATCGACCCGTCAGCAGGTCAATGTGTCTGTTTGCACCAACAACCCCGTTACAGAAATGGAGTCCAGTTTTTAAAAATATTGTTTATTTTTTACAGAAAAGCACCAGGTTGGGTGAAATCTGCCCAACAAGCTCATTAGCCAACATTTAACTCAAAGGTAACTGGTGTGCAGATGGAAACTTACACTGGCATGATGATGTTTCTTTGTGATCCTCTGCAACAAAAAACAGGTTTGTTGGTTATAAACAGAAATGAAAGTGTCAAAGTGTTTTTATGCATTATATTTGGTTGGTTTAGTTTCTGTTAAATAAATAATTCAGTTTAAGAACTTATATTTTTCATTTGAGCTTACATAAGTTTTAAAGTTTGGCACATTGTTGACAAGGTCTTGTTACATAAGAAGGTAATTAAAGGCCTAGCATTCTTTGAAGAGACATCACCCACTGCATTTCTTCAATGTCTCTCAGAGTATCTGTTGTTAAAGACCCTCAGCTACTACCATGCTAAATTTTAGCTCAATGTCTGTAAAACTAATGGACTTTTAGCCATTTTTGTGTTTTCTACATTTGCTAAAATGGTGATAACTTCTAAAGGTAATCATTGTAGATACACGTCCAGTGATTACTTTCTGAGAGTTTTAGTGGCTCAAGAGATATTTTACTAACACAGCAGACAAACAAACACACTATCGCTGCTTACTTTCAACTGCTGACCCTTAATGAGTTCTGAGAAGACATATGTTACAAAATGTAAACAAAATTCAGGACTGTTTTAAAGAAAATTACAGTACCTAACAGGATGTGCAGTCATTCTTTAAAACAATAAAACAACATCAGACAAATGTGCTCCAAATTATTTTTTTATTATAACTAAGAACTTGTACTTGTGGCATGAATGAGAACAGTTTGATTCAGTGGATCGGCGAGCAAAATCTAAATATTTACAAAAAAAAAAAAGCACAGATTAAGAAATTATAAAATCTATATTTTCAGGCTTGTTGTCTTCATATTGTTCCCTTTAATCCCCCTTCATGTGTTTTTGTCTGATCAGTGCTCATTAGGGTTAAACACGTTTGTTACTATTAGTCAAACTGCTCATTAATTTTCTGTTCCAATGTACAAACAAACCTCTCTAAAACTGTATAAACTCAGACTTACGTGCCACAGCGCAGCAGCTCAGCAGCAACAACAGGCACAGCTTGTTGTAACGCATGATGGACTCTTCAGCCCCCACAGGGATGAATAAAACTAAAACCTCTCAGATCTTTTATAAAGTCACACTGAATGGCAGTGACATCACACAGGTCAAAGTTCAACATCTGCCTTGAACTGGAGGTTCTTGTTGGGAAAGTGGCTGAAAGGCGAGGATTCCTGTTTGTATTCAGGGGAAACACCCACATTTTAGGATTTTATTTTTAACAAAGTGATTATGTTTATTTTTATGTTTTAGATTCAAAACATTAGCAGGAATCATTACAATGTGAAGAGTCTGTGAGCTGTGCCCAGTCTTGCAGCTCAGAGAGAAGCACCGCTTGAGCAGCTTTTTATACCAATTAAGAAAATCACAAAAGTGAAGTCTTTATGGTTCTGGTTTAATTCTCTTCGCTTGTTTGCCTCAGTTTCTCCTGATTAAATAAAATCCCAGGAAATCTGAGAAAACAAAGGTTAAAGGTTGTTCACAGCCACATAACAGCTGGGATCAATACCATTAAAAACTGATTTTTTTTTCTTGTTTGGACAAAAGACCGTGGGAATCATTAAAGGCATATTTAAGAGATTTTCTACAGCCATCACAGAAATCATCTTTTTGTGCACATTAAACAAACTTGTTGCAGGGACATAAAAAACGCAATCATAACTATACAAACAAGTATGGAAATACATTCTTTGAATTGTATTTGTTTTTCTTTCTGGAACTAGACCAGCTTTTACCGTTTGTTTTGGCCAAAGGAGACAAATCTTTGGACCGAATCCCAGTATAATTAGTTCTGAAACTTGAAATGAAAGATATGAAGAATCTCAAACATTTTCAAATCATGTGGATTTAAAGACCCTCTATAGATTTTTATATTTATTAGAATGCATAACAATTGTGTTATGAAGTAACAATTTAAAATTCTCGTGTCTATGGTTATAAAAAATATAAGGCTATTAAATAAATCATAAAATAAAGTATAAAACAAGCAGTACAGTTATACTGATTAGATGAAAATGTAAATAAAACTATATAGCTGAAGCTTTTAAAAATGTATGTTTAAATTTAGAACATTTATGTATTTACAAGTGTGATTATGTTTATTTGAACTTTTTTGGGGTGGGGGGTGGGGGGGGGGGGGGGGGGTGTTAGACACCGTTGCACTTTGTGACTCGGTTTGAATTAAACGAGTTTAATTATGAAGGCTGACCGGAAGTGATTTGATCCAGTCGCTTCGGGGTGCGTTCTCCGGCACAACACCAGCTTTAACGGTCACACAACATTTAAATCAACTTGATAGGAACAAAAAGCAGCAAAACTTTTTTTTTTTTTTTTTTTTTTTTTTAAGATCGTGATAGGACGCTACTAGTTAGCAAAAAGACGAACCTGCGACTTTAGGGGAACTACAAAAGTTAGTGGTTTGGATACATTTTTTTTGTGTGTTACGTCTGCGACGTTTTTATGTCTATATTCTGATTTACTTCATTTTGTATATTGCTTTGTGTGTTGCCTGTTTTTCTGTCTGTACAGCACTTTTTTGGCCTTGTCGCTGTTTTAAGTGCTCTATAAATAAAATGGTATGGTATGGTGTTTAATTTTGAAGGTTGACCGGAAGTCAGACGTTTCAGTTGCTCCGGGGTGCATTTTTTGGTACAACACTTCCAGTTCGTACTATCGCTGCTCGACATTGGCAAAGGACATTAAAAGCAACCCTTTTGGAGGAATTACAAACATAAACAATCGGTAAATACATTAAAATTATCTCGTAAAAGTATTAGTTAGCAAATAGACAGCTGTGAGAGGTTAAATACTGTTATTAAACACCGTCTTCAGTTTGTTTCTAGCTAACATTTTCCTTCCTGTTAACGGTTCTGGTCGTGTTTTGTAAACAAAACAAACCATTAATTTTAGTCTTAGACTTTGAAATTAACATATTTTATTTGTAAAATTATGTTGACATATGAAATTTGCATTTAAGATAATTGTTGACATCGTATGCATGAACCCAGCATTAATGTAAATCAACAATAACTAATAATATTCACCTTTACAATAATAACTTTGTCTGTACATCTTTGTTTTTTCTTTTTCACCCTGAATTGCTTTATTTAGGTCCACTTCTTCAGTTTCAACCTCCAGCTGATTTTGATTTCCAAGATGTCTTTTTAAATGAGCATGTTAAAAGAAGAAAATATCTAAAATCTTCTGACTGTTCAGGTAAATAAGCCCCACATTTCTGTACAGTCTCCATTTTACCTGACATTGTTTTCTTTCATTATTTGTCTTTTATAACATGTTCATTATACCTATTAAATTCCTTAAATATGTTGCAATTATTTTAATATATCTGAGAGGAAATAGTGTGATTTAAGCTAATTTTACACATTTGCTGATTTAGAGGAAGTTAATGTCACATGATGTAAAACATACAAAGGACATGTGTTGATTTATTCTTGTTTTATTGTCATGGATGAAGCATGCTGTCAGCTGGGAGAGTCGCCAGGTGCTCTCTGGGGATTTTTAAGAGCATCTCCAGTTCTTCCAGACACAAAGGTAAACCACAAATCTTCACATCGACTACTTTTTACCCCTCTATTTATTCTTTTTTTTTTTTTAACAAAATGTGAAGCAAACTTTTTGGAGATTACTTTCCTTTGGACAAAATGGGAGGTTTTCCTTGAATTTTTCTGTAACGTTAAAAACTGGACAGTTTTTCAACAATTAAATATCCATCCATCCGTTGTCTTTACCCGCTTCTTCCTTTTTGGGTCGCAGGATCGCTCTACCAACTGTGCCACCGTGCTGCCATAATTAAATATATAAAGTAGAATTAAAACAGTTTTAGAGAAAAGGTTGCCTGTTTTGTTTCAACTGTAGAGATTTTTATAATTTTATATATATATTATATAATTTTATACAATACTACTTTGCTTCAGACATATAGGAATAGTGTGATTTAAATTGTTAAAATGTGTATTTCTGCATAAACTACATATGATGTGAGGACTTTATTTAAGTTCTTGAGTTTCACTTGTCAGTTTTAAAACTTGTGTCAACAAAACAAAACATTTGTTGTTAAATGTAAAATTATGCCTGTCTTCCATTTATCATCACTTTTCAGGACTTTGGGTTGGAATCAGTCTGTCAAAATGTACCTGAAATACCAAACTTTAGGGCAAACCATCAGAGAGGAACCCAGGTTTAGATTATAAGTTGGGTCTCGGCTCGCCAGAGTCTAACACTAATGATCCAGTTTTGAAATCTGTACCCAAATTATAGCCAAGCAACCTGTAATTTAGATATCTGATTAATAAATCACATCTTACTTGGTACTTATCTCAGCCAAAGGTGTTAAATAAATAAAAAATAATTTATTTTTAGAGATTTTGTATTGTTTTACAAATAAAAACATAAATTTTGCATGTTTTTTTTTTTTTTAACATTGGTCTCGAGTTGATTAAATTAACCGTTACTGGTCTTTTCTAACTGTATTTGGTGTTTTATGTGACCTTAAAAATTAAACAAAGTGAAGAATTAACCCCCAAAACCCCTCTGACAACCAGTGATCAAGGTTTAATTTAGTGTGGGAGTTGAGTTTGTCAAAATAAATTTACAAAAAATAAACAAGGAGACATTAAATTAAAAGGCCCAACATTTCTCGAAGGAATGCGTATCGCTACGCTTAAAGTTGTAAAATAAACTGACAAAGGATCATTCAAATTGGAGCTTTGTTCCATTGTTTTTTTAAATCTATTGTTTATAACCGTATGTCCATGTTTTACGGAGAGTAATTCTTTCTGTTAATGTTTAGTTTTTTACCCAATCTTGATCCGTTCAGTTTTTCAAAAATTAACCACATTAACCGCGCTGAAACGGAGTGCAGACCAGCTTTACCTCCGTAAAGACGACGATCTTGAAGTAGGCGAAACGATTTTTATCATCTTCCTTTCAATTTTCTGTAGCTCCTCTAGATAAGTGGAATTGGCACCAACCTCTTTGTGAACCGACTGTTCTTGAAGCTAAAAATACCAGCTGATATAATTACTTAATTATATTTACGCAGAAAGGCGTGTTTGAACATGCAGCACGCAGGTGATTTAAACGTGCTCAGTCCAGTTGAACTGAGGCTGCGAATCAGACAGAACGATCCAAGAGTCACAACTACGACCGGATTAGCACACGGTAAGTTCTGTTTCGCCTCCTTGAGTTCTGTCTGCGACCCGTTGGACTTTATTCCTGCAAGTGTTTGAACCTAACCTTTGTCCCTGGAGAAACTAAATGTCAAGGCTTGATTTATTCCTGCGCCTTCTGTCTAATTTTGGACGTTTTTCTGCAAAACACAGATTTATTCCTCCTTTAATAAAGTATCACATAAAGGAATAATCATAAACTTAACAGGACTGCTGCTTTTTGGTAAACAGCTTTGATTCAAATTTAATTTAAGAGCTCATTGTTGTCTGCATACTTTGATTTTGTTTTATTTCACCAACTGACCAGTTTTGCTAAAAATGATTATTGAAATATGGCAGTTACTAATTCTCCTGTGATCTTTACTCTTTTTACTGTAATAAATAAATCATAATTTAGATGAAAGTACCTTTCTTTAGTTTGGGATAAACTAATCAGCACAATGTAGTTGCCCTAAATAAACAACAAGCCCAACTATAAGACAAATGTTTTTTTTTTTTTAAATGGCATAATTTTCTTAAAAGCAGGTGAAGTAGCTGAAAGGAGCAGAAACAGATATCATTTAAATCAATGGTTTTTGGTTAATTTTTATCATCTTTGCATGAATTGTGTGTTTTTTCAGGATACCAGCAGGCGAACGTCGTCATCCTGCCGAGTCATCTAGCCAATGACTTTGAAGCATTTTGCCGCAGTAACTCTGCTCCTTTACCGCTCCTTTGCCGCAGCCAATCAGGAGAGACTTCCTGTGACTCTCTGGCTGCAAATGCTGACATCAGGTATCTCCAATTGATAAAATTCAGACTTCAACAACAGAAAATTAATTTGCTGCTAAAATGGTAACAGTTTATTTGAACTTGTTGTAAAAGCTAAAAATGAGTTGTTATAGCCAAAGAAGCAGAACGCTAGCTAAACGTTTTAAAAGCATTTCCAAGTATCAAAAAGCTAACTTGAAGCAAAAAGTAGCAAATTGCTAGCTAAAACAAAAGTAGCTAAAAGCTAACATAATGTAAATGGCATGCTAAAGGTAGCAAAAGCTAGCTAGGGGCTAAAATTAGCTAAATGCCAGCTAAAAGATGCAAGTTGCAAAAGTCTGACTAAAAGTTAAAAGCAAAACCTTAAAAAGGTAAAAGTAGCAAAAGACAAGCTAAAAGCTAGAACTAGCAGAACAAAGCTAAAACTTGGAAGTAACAAAAGCCTGCCTAAAGGCTAAATGTATGAAAGGCTAGCTAGAAGCTGTAAGTAATAAAAAGTTAGCTAAAAGTAGCAAAAGACTATCTTAAAGCTTAAAGTGGTAGAGGTTTGGCTAAAAGCTAAAAGTAGCAAAAGACTAAAGGCAAAAATTTGCTAAATGTTATTTAAAAACTAAAATTAGCTGAATAGTAGCCATAAGCTAAAACGAGCTAAAGAAAAAGCAGGAAAAACCTATCTAAAAATAGCAAAAGGCTAGCCAAAAGCTAAAATTAGCCAATGTTTGGCTAAAAGCTAAACAGAGGAAAAGGCTTGCCAGAAGCTAAAAGAAGAAAAGTTTTGCTAAAAGTAGCATAAGAATAAAGTCAAATATATCTGAAAAACCTTTTTCCTTGTAGCCTGTTCACATTTCTTTTTTCTTTTAATGGTTTTGGAGGTTCAGATTCTTTCTAAACATGAAATTTCTTAAATATTCACGTCATAATCTTTAGGCAGTTAATTAGATCTTAGATCTTTTCTCCAAAACTATGGTTCCATTTTTACGTTTTCCAATATAAAAACATACAAAATAAAACACCCGCCTTAAATGGTTTTGCGAGATGTTTTAAGTCAGAGTTTCTGCTTCCTTACACATTCAGTGTTCGTGCATATTTGTCATATCTCACTTTTTTACTCTGTGCTATATAAAATCTGTATTTTTGTGTCTGCAGGACTGACATCTCTCAGTACTGCGTGTACGAGGAGGGTCGTCTGGTGAGGACAGTCTCCAGCCTGCAGAGGTGAGTCAACAGACACAGGCAGACTGAACACCTGTGTACAGGAAAGATGTGAATTTATTTTTGTGTTTGCAGGACCGGGTCAGAGGTCGGATCACTGTCAGGTATGGTCAGTTTCTATCTCGGCTGCAGCTTTGGATTTGAAGGCAAATTGAAGGAAGTTGGCGTCCCCGTGAGGAATGTGGAGCAAGGCAGAAACATCAGCATGTACAGGGTATGAGGGGAATTATTTATAAATCTAAAACCTCCTAAAACATCAGGCCTACTGGATTGATTGAAAGTTGAAAAAAAAAAAAAAAAAAAAAACAACAAGCTGGCAGCAAGCGGCAGCAGTTTTCTGTGTTTATATTTTGCTAATTAAAAAGTTCTAAAACATAAAAAACAAAACTGGGAGCGCTGGCCCTGCAGCCCACACAACAGACCGGACCACCGGGAAATCTCCAGACCCTCCCGCAGCCACGCTGGACCTGATTTTAATTCTGCCGTGACAAATTCCTTGATTTCTCACCATTTCAGTCACGGTGTCAACGGACGAGGAGGAAGAGATCACTTGCCTCTCGGCAAAAAAACAAAAGAAAAGGCCATTAAACCAGATCAGGGATGAAGGGGAATTTAATACATTGGTGTCGCATACTAAACAGTCCGTCACCAGGCAGTTTATTGCACGACACCAAGTACGCGTATGCGGTCATAAAAATTTATCTTTGCACGGACATACCCTGCGGGCGTCTGCTTCGAGGCTTATCTGGTATGCACGGACCTCCGTGGACTGAAGTCCACTCGAGTCTGTGGGAGCCTTCAAAATTAAGCTCCTCCATCAGTCTAAAGAGTGGTTTAATCCCTGCTTTAAGGCAGCATGTGCACCTGCTGAAAGCAAATGTGTTGGAGGACTGAAGAAGTGAAACTGGCATGAATTAATATCTTCTAGTAAGCATTCACTTGTGACAGGTCCTCATTAGTCGAGAGATGAGTATTTCTGGCATGCATGAGAACAGGGTTTGATTTATCGACTGAGAGTTTGATTGTTCTTATTATATTCAATTACATTGTAACTGAATACTTAAATGTAGCAACGGTCTGTGCCCTAGGTGTGTCAGTGAGTGACATCAGTGATGCAGCCAGCTGGTCTTAAATAGTTTGGTTTCATTGTTTGAATATGACAGCCACTTTTGTGGCTTACTGTTCTTTCTGTAGGGTACAAGGTACTGGACTCTCGTGCTGTATTTGACCCTGCGGGACGTTTATGTCCCATACGTCATGTGTTGTACCTCATTCCTCTCCTTCAGGGAGCAGTAGTTTTAGTGTGTTTAATGGTTTGAAGAGTCACACAGAACTTGTGTTTTTGTAGACTACAGTTCGCTGTGTCCCTAGCGGAGCGTTCAGCTGCCCTCTGGTGGTCACTATGCGCCCAGTTCCAGGTGGTTTACTGGATGCAGCAGCGGAGGTCACTCACCTCAACCCGCTCGCTCATGGAGCCCCTATACACATCGGAGAGCCTGGTGCATGACGCAAACACACAAAATAATCTAAACTCACTGGCTCTTTAAACCATAATATAGATATGTGTTTTTATCTGTGCAGATCTCCTGGGGATTCTGGATCTGTCTAAACCAGACTATGGAGAGTCAGTGGAGCTTCAGGCTGGTGATGTCCCTGTTTTCTGGGCTTGTGGAGTGACTGCAATCGAGGCCATTCTCAGCAGCAGTGAGCAATATGATTATCGTAAACTGTATCATAATAAATAATGTTGAATGATTGTCATCTGATAAGTTGTTTTTTTTTCAGAGCCTTCCTTGGCCTTCAGTCACTCACCGGGCTGTATGTTCCTCACAGACGTCCCAGACTCCCCTTCTTCCGACTCTCTGCGCACCAAACCCGACCCTGAGCTGACCCCGCTCTGCTTCTGCATATCCCACAATCCTCTCCATTACAGCCTGGCGTCTAAGGCAGCAACTGAGAAGATCAGACAGCTGGAGAAGATAATTGGTGAAGACCCAGGTGAGCTTACAGGAAATATAAAAGTTGTATTTTCTGAAGTGGACACAAATGAACAGAAACCAGAACTGTGAGCAAAAACAAACCTACAGGTTTTGTTTGCTGAGCAGGAGCCTATACTGGAAGTGATAACTGATGGCACAAGTGTTGTAAACTTTGGCAATAGCTTTTAGGAGCAACTCTGTTAGCAAAAATATCTCTTGAACCACTGGACAGATTTAAATGAAACTATCAGGAAATTATTGGATGCATGTCTATAATTAATTAACTTTAGGAGCTAACTCAGTTCCAGATGGCTGCCAAGTCTAACTGATCTTAGAAAAGACAATAATTGTTAAATTCAGTCAGCTTTGCAGATGTTAAGCTAAAATGTAACATGGTAGTAGCTGAGAGTCATTCATGGCGTATACTCTGAGCGTGACATCTTCACATAAAGTTATTTTTCAAGATTTGACCAAAACAGCTACAACTTCGTCATTCCTCATCTGAAGATGATCTCAATGAAAAGTGGTGGTTGACCTGCATTCCTTCATGGAGTATATTCAATAACTTCTTTAATTAATGACACAAAGCAGCATGTTTACACTAAAAAAACATCTCCGCCCTGTGTTGGTCTTAACTGTGACGTCTGTTTCTGTCACCAGGTCAACGAGGAATCAGAGCTTTATTTGTTCAGGATGAACTTCTTCGCTCCTGCCTGGCGCTCTCCCACTCCTCCTCTGTCGCTATAATAACCGGATTTCCTACACACTTCATGCACAGGTACAGTATGTACACACAAACATATTCAACACATAACGAGTGTGTTGAAACACTTCATAAATCCTTTCGCATCACATCCTGTTACAGCTCTGTCAGACGCAGCAGAGATGGATTTTTGCTCCCGCTTCTTGTTCGTTGTTTTTGTTTTCCTGTTTAGTCCCCCCGACGAGACAGATGGCCCACCTGGAGCCATTGCCATGGCAACCATGCTGCTGTCTCTCGGGAAACAGGTGACGCTTTTGACCGACAGCAGGGCACTGGAGATGAATCGAGCCATCGTGGACGAAGCAGTGCGGACAGGTGGTGGTGGGGTGTTTGAACTCCTAAATTAAGTTTATTTTGCTACTTAAATTTATTTTTTGTGTGTTTTTTCTCTAATGTCCTCCATCAGGGGTCCTGAAAGCTGCAGTCCCGTTGGTCACATTTGAAGATCGCGGCCCTGACTCTGCGCTGCACTTCCTGTGTCATCACGGAGACCCCAACAAGCCCAGGTTAGACGACTGAACGTTTAGTAAAACATCCGAACTACAAATCATGGCGACGTCAGCGCTCTGACGTTCCGTCGCTGCCTCAGCTAGACCCAAAGGTTTGCACTTCTCATTCTGACATCCACGCAGACAGCTCCTACAGAGCGACGAACACAGTGAAAACCAAAAGTCCCTTATGCTAAAATACTTTAAAATAGATTTTTTTTCTCTTGTTATATAAAAAAATATATATACAATTTTTGATTATTAATTCAGACCTCACTCCTGGGAGACAAACTTTCTACATAATGTTTGGACTAATTAAAACATAATAGTTAATAACTTATGTTACAGTTCCTAATAATATTAGGATTTTTTTTCCCCATTGAGATTCAGCAAAAGTAGCGTAGTTTTTTGGTTCACAGAATAACTAAGGCTTTAAAGTTTCACTTCAGTAGTTATTAAATCACATTTAAAACCCTACGGTGTTCCTGTTGTCAGAGGTGGTGGTTTTTGGAGCAGAACCCAGTGGTACAGGCAGGACTCAGAGAGCAAAAATAAGAAGCACTTTAATTAAACACAAAATAACAAGCTGTCCTCCTGGCAGCAAACACTTACTTGGCTCATAAGGAACATGAGAAAACCACCAGTAACTCAGGAGGAACGCCAGATGATGCCCAGACAACAAATAACACAGACTTATATACAATGACTAATGAGACATAAGACACAACACCTGTGAGGACACGCAGCTGAAACAGATGGACTGAACTGGGAAACCAGGGAGTGTAAGAATGGAAACCAGCCACCAGAGGGCACAATCCTTACACCTGTCAAATGAATTTGCAACTTTTCCTCATTTTAAACAAACGTGACCTCTACTGTTATTAAATGACCAAGATTTTATCCTAGAAAGTTTGTGTTTGTGCTTCTACTGCTCATGCAGACAAATCATTAGTCTTGAGTTTTTCTCCTGGAGCTGATAAAAACTACAACTCCTGGACTATTTTTTTTAAGATAAGGTCCTGGGATCTTACATAGCTGCCCACTGCTCCACCTGGGTGCATCCCAATAAGAACCAATTTCATCATTGTATGGGAACATACATTGATGATAACACATAACACTTTATTTTCTCAATGATTGAAAATATGCAGCTGATCTTTGCACGCTTCATATTTTTGTAGCCTACAAAGTAACCAAAAAGTGTACCTTTAAGGGTCATTCTGACAGATTATATATATATATATATATATATATATATATATATATATATATATATATATATATATATA